AAAGTAGTGTGCTAGTGCCCTGGCAACGGCGGAAAATTTGCTAACAGGTCCGGGATGCATTTACCTAAAGAATTTACTAGAATTTAATGTATTAAGTGGTTGAGGGTTTTAGCTCTAAATTCCCTGATTTGTCTTTAATTCCAAATTGGGACATTCTGTCCGGGACGTGTATGTTAAGATATTAATAGTAAGAAAGAATATTTAAAGAACATTATGAAACGTTAAGAACATTCCACAAAACAGCCCATGTTTGGCGTGAATAATTAGGGCTGGCAGTTAAGAAGTGGACTAAAATTATATTTGTAAACCTTTTTGTATTGTACTGGGCACTGAAATCCTAGTATCTACTGTATCAGAGTTGGTGTAGACAGCAGCTGGCTTAGAGCTTAACTCAGCCTAATACATGACCAGTGTTTGAGTGCTAGTTATTCGGGTGTTGGCTAACTTACTCATGCCATTACTCCCGTAGGCGGGAGGGTTAAAGCATGTTTTTTTCCTTGAGAGGTTTGCAGTGGTCTACGCCACTTGTTGTGGCGAGATTCCGGCGGCCGATCTACGACGGCTAGCGAGGGTTTTTCGTAACCAAGATATCTTGACCAGCGGGTCACAGCTCCACCCGGGATGAGCTGTAAACTCGCACTGTTTTAACGACATGTGTTGTACTGTATTGCATGTAGTGTAAGTGTAAGTGAGAAAAGAAACATGTAATAGGTAAGGGAAGATAACAAGCCAGTTTGTCAACTCATTTGGGTAGGGTTGCTGGCTTCAGGCATCCCCTGGTCTTGCAGTAGAAACCACGAAAACTACTTTATCAGAGCGGGTCGGTCGCTAAAATTATCCATCCGTGGACTGAATTAATTAGCTGGACATGCTAGTAATCCAAAATCGTGCAGGCCCGTCAGGACACGAATCTAGGACCTCCCGGTAAGAGGGGCTGCATGTGGACATTAAAACAGTTGACGTCCTGACCAATCTCTCCGCTGGCAATCCAGAGCGAGTAGGAACACCTCCACTTCACTTGATAACACATCCAACTACACTTACCGGACTAGAGAATTGGCAGCATTTGCTAAAGAACGAAGTCAATCCTTGACAGAAGCTATGTAGTATCTCACAACCTTATGGACTATAATATGAATTTCCGACCAATAGTAATTAGCGCACATAGTATTCGGAACGACGGTAATGTCGGGGAGCTTTGACATACCTTGCCTTATCCTTTGCGGGGTCCTTCGTGTCCGTCAGATCACCCTTGAGGGAGCTGCGTGTCTACCGATCGCCGGTTAATTGATTGATTAATTAGTGATTTCGGGCATGTCAATTGCTAAAGTCATTAGTCCGGCAAGTATTGTGCATTTTTCATCGAGGGGTGTGGGGGTGATCTTCTCCCTGGCCGGCGAGGGTCGGCGCGAACCTACGTTGTCTTGCGAGAATTTGCCCTAACCAGGTATCTCCCGCCAGAGGGGAACTGCTCTTACCGGGACAAGTTCTAAACTCCCGACTGGTCTCCCGGCATGTATGTTAATGTAGTGCATTTAAAGTGTGTGTGTGTGTGTGTGTGTGTGTGTGAGAGAGAGAGAGAGAGAGAGAGAGAGAGAGAGAGAGAGAGTACGTAAGTTGTGAGGATGGGGCAAGGAAGAGGAAGGAAGGATCGCTCGCGGTCCCTAGATCGTTTGTTAGTTTACTGCTCCGGTATTTGCCTGGTGTTGAATGGAGAAAACACGAAAAACTAGTGTTCAGAGTTCTTCTCCGGACAGAATTCTTCTCCGAATAACAGCTAAACTCAACCTAGCTCTCTGGATAGTGTCAGAAACCCTTCCACAGTCGGGACTCGAACCCTAGAGCTTCCCGATTACTGGCACTGCAGTGACTTCCTGATGCCCTGAGTCACCTTTGCCGCCCCGACTACCGGTCTCTAAAGAGGTGGGTGAGAGTGGAGGGGGCAGAGTAGGGTGCTAGGCCCTCCCCACTGCAATCAGATGGCGAATATATGTTTGCGCCCCCCCCCCAGGCTGAGAATTCGTGGCGAGAGTGGTACAAATTTTGGCAGTGTGACACTGAGTGCACCTTTGTCCAGCCAGCAGAAGAATGGTTTTCTGTTGTTGCGTTACGTGCAAGATGTATTACGCAACCAGCGTATTTTTGTACTAACTTCCTCCTAACTGTAAATGTTATGCTGACGATGTAATATAAACAAGTCTAAGCATTGAATAGCAATTTCATATACATAGTAATGAGTTTCAAATCATTCTTGTATTTCGTCTTGCTTCGCGAGTGCAAATTCTCAATTGTATGCACGAGTTCTAATGTTATATTTAATAAAAGATGAAGAACGACCTACCAAATAAAGTGTTTTTACTAGATAATTCACTGTGCTAATAACCTGGCCACTCCATGCCTTGGGAAACACCCCTATTTCGTTATACGCTTTTTTATATAGTACTTGCAGAAGAAGACTGGTAACATGTCACAAAATTCAGCAGGGTTTGTTTGTGTTAGCCTGCCCTTTTCCTTGTACAACAATTGCTTCGTTCGTAGCCGCTGAAAATGATCCTTATAAGCTTTTCATGTTCTCCAGAGTTTCGAAAAATTATTTTAAATGTGGCCATTTTTTAACAATTCCTAAAAGGAACAAACTCTGCCGTAAAAACTGTAATCTTTGCGAGCAGAAGTCATTGGATTTCGATTATAACTCCTTAACGATTCTGACACTGCAGTCACATGACAGTTGGCCAAAACAAGCTTCTAATACAACGGGTGCTTGTAATGCTATTGTAAATTAAGATTCCAGTATCTTACAGAAACTACAGCTGCAGACATGAATCGAACCTGTGTGGGAAGAGCCCATTGGATTTCGAGACCAACTCCTTAAACACTCTGATATCGCAACGCCAGCGTATTAAGCAGAAACAAGTTACTAATACAATGGGCACTTGTTATTACTTTTTCATTGATAAATTTCTATAGAGAAAATTAATACACGCTATTAAATCGATCATCACATGCGCATAACCTAGGCAGAATATTCATAATTGAATGGTTTGGTGGCTTTGTGACTTTTCCAGTCGTAGATTATTTGTGATTTAAAAGTCACTTTTAATCGCGTTTGATAATTTTTAGTTTGCGGACCTCAAATGTTTAACAGTTTCGCATGCATGCAGATCCAATTATAACAAAAACTTTGTCCTTGAATGGTTAAATGTTTCTGATTTTGTCTCAAATGGAATTTGGACAATAGCTGCTGTTCTACTTTTTTTCGAAATGATCAGTGAAATATTCATAGATTAATTTTAGAGATAGATATTCCAAAAAAAGAGTATTGTATATTAATTAAAATGTAGCTTTAAAAAATGGAATTTATTTATTATATACAGGAACTATTTTGTCTTTCATTTTTATAGTTGTTTAAATGATTTTTAATGAAAGCCATTTCTTAATTTTAGGGGGCTACTAATGATAATGATATTTTGGTGTGCTATTGCAACCGTCTACGAATATTCTACTCGTGGTGAGTCATGTTACTTACATATTAATATATTTTAAACTAATATCGTAGAACCTTGATTTATTTTATTTAGTTTCTTAATTGATAATCAAAATGGTTATTTATTTGTATGTATGGAATTGAAGGGTGCTATTATTTAATATGGGAACTAGTATGTTGGTATAGTATAGTATGTTGGAACTGAAAGCAATATGATATAAAATAATGTATTTAAAGATATATACATTTATTACATGGTTTATATTATGTATACATGTATGCACTGAAGAGGCAAAAAACTGATACAGCTATGCTTATTGAAAAAAAGAGATCTGGAAAATGATCAGAATACGGCTCTCAGAAACGACTATTTAATACAACCAGAGTCTGGCACAGTTGTTAGATCGGTTACTGCTGCTACTAGGGCAGGTTATCACGATTTAAGTGAGTTGGGACGTGGTGTTATAGTCGGCGCAAGAGATGGGGTCGTACGGGAAAATCCAAATTTTCCCGTACGACCATTTCACGAGTGTACCGTAAATATTGGGAATCCGGTAAAATATCAAACCTCTGGCATTGCTGTGGGGACAAAAGGATCATACGGACCGACGACGACTGAGGAGAATCATTACACGTGACAGAAGTGCAACCCTTCTAAAAAATTGCTGTAGATTTCAATGCTGGGTCATCAACAAGTGTCAGTGTGCGAAGTATTCAACGAGACACCATCGATATAGTGTTTCGGAACCGAAGGCCTACTGGTGTACCCTTGGTGACTGCACGACGCACTGTGTTACGCGACTCCTGGGCCCCTTCAACACCGAAATTGGACTGTTGATGCCTGGAAACACGTTGCCTAGTCTGTCGAATCTCTTATCGCATTGTTTTGAGCGGATGAGCGTGTACAAGTATGGCAACAACCTCATGAATCCACGGATGCTGCATGTCAACAGGGAACTGTTGAAGCTGGAGAAGGATCTGTGATGGTATGGAGCATGTGCAGTTGTGCAGAGTGATATAGGACTCCTGATACGTTTAGATACGGCTTTGGTAGGTGACGCGTACGTAAGCATCCTGGTCTGATCACCTACACCCATTCATATCTATTGTATATCCCGATGGACTTGGGTAATTATAGCAAGACAATGAGCCCACACGACCAAAATTACCACAGAGTGGAGCTAAGGACACACTTCTGGATTTAAAATTCCCAGACATTAACATTATTGAGCACATCTGGGATGCCTTGCAACGTGCTGTTCAGAAGAAATCTCCACCCCCTCGAATTCTTTAGAGTTTGTGGGCAGCCCTACAGGATTCGTGGTCAATTACCTCCAGTATCACTCCAGATATTAGCCGGGTCCATGCCACGTCGTGTTGCGGCACTTCCGCGTGCTCTCGGGGGTGGGGGTGGGGCTACACGATATTTAGGCAGGTGTACCATTTTTTTGGCTCTTCAGTGTAATGTATTACAATACATGCTTAGTAATATAATGTTGTGTTGTTTTTTTTTAATAATCATGGTTACTTTTTTCTTGCTTCTCGCATTGCGTCGGTCAGGTCGCCGGCGAAACGAGTGGGTGGCGGCCTTCTCAGCGCTGGTCAACGGAGCCGCGCTACTCTGCCCCGGCGGCAGCGGCGGCGGCGGCGGCGACAGGGTTGGCGGCAAGGCCGGCGGCAGGGGCAGCGGCAAGGGCGGCGGCAAGGGCGGCGGCAAGGGCGGCGGCAAGCGCGGCGGCAAGGGCGGCGGCAAGGGCGGTGGGGACGGGGACGGCGAGGGCCGCGACTCTCTGCCGCCCCTGCACGCCCTCCGCGTCATCGGCTTCCTGGCCGTGGTGCTCGGCCACTGCTTGGTCTCCTGCTTGGACGTCCCCACCGCCAACCTCGAGCATCTCTACGAGGCAAGTGCCGGGAGAGGGGGCTCGGTGCACCAACTGACGTCAGTGCAGGGCCTCTGACGGTTCGAGGCTAGACAGGGGCATGATTTTCGCCACTAGGATGAATTCAGACGCTGTCTGGAGAAGAATTCTATAGGCCGACTGCTCTGATCGGTAGTTTTCCTTGCTTTCTCGGATGATTACCAGGCGAAAGCCGGAGCAGTACCCTAACAAAAGGGATACGGTAAATTCTTGGCTATCCAGGAGACGTCGCGTCGTTGGTTGGGGTGCCGACGTTTCGCCTGACATCTCGCAGGCTTCTTCAGGGCAGTGAGGAACTGCCCTGAGGAAGTCCCGGATAGCCGAGAATTTATGGATTCGAGCCGCGGAAGCTTACGTGTACAAAAGGGATACGGACCGCGCGCGATCATTTCTTCCTATCCTCTCCCCTTACACACACTTACACTCAAATTCCCTACACTATCACACAAGTCGGGAGGCCGGTCGGGAGCTTAGAGGTTGTCCCGGCTGGAGCGGTGCCCCAGTGGTGGGAGATACCCGGTAGAGGGAAAACTCCGCTAGCTGGCGGTAGGTCGGCGCCTGATTTCGCCATCTAGCTAAGAAAGATCACTGTACCTCCCGGAGGAAAAAATGCACTACACTTAAGGGACTAATGACCTCAGCAGTTGACACGCCCGAAATCACTAACAATAAACCAACCAACCTACAAGGCGGGCGTGGGGCTTCCTGCATGATTCTCTGGTAGTTGCAGTGCCGGATCGAGCATTTTTGGGGACATATTGCAGTCTTGCAATAGGGTTCACAATATGTTTACTGCGAAAAATTATTGACGCAGCACACGGGTGTCAAATAGAATATCTCTTAGATATTTTGAGAAGCTGCATTATTTTAAATTTCAATTTTTAGTACCACTAATTTTGTCTGGGTCAACATCACTCCACATTTATCAGCCATTAAGTTTGAATTGTTTTTTCCGTTGTAAAACAAATTGAATATTTTATAAATTCATATTTTCTGGTCATACATTTTGGAGTGACAAAAATAATAATTCAAATATTGACAGTGCGTAAGATAAATTACAGATTTAAAGAATAGTCATTTTTAATTTATTTGAAAAAATATATTTAGAACACATTATAAAGAGAGTTTACAAGGCAGCCAGCATATTAAGTAAAATACTTTTTGGTCGTAAAAAATACCACCCCGCTCACTGTAAAACCGTTGACCTTTGAAATGACAGTATTTGACCCTAGTGACAGTGTTTTAGACAGTAGTTTTGCTTGTTAACTGACAATATTGTAATCACTTAGTTAAGAAATGTTAATAAAGAATACACCATAATAAAGTTCTCGTATAAAACCTGTAGTTTTATTGTCATGTTGGTCCTATTTTTGTGAAGACTTCTCGAGTCATTTGGGACACATAATTTAGCTCAAAATATAACATTTTCATCTTCTTTTTGTACTTTCAAATTGTTTCTCTGGTCTCGATATTTACTTGAATAAAAATGTTTGTTTTAGTTAAGTAAGCAGCCCATTGCCGTTATACCGGCAGTGACACCTCTCTTTGTTGACGTCTACTTGGTGCTGGGAGGACTTCTGGTCGCATACGTCTACTTTAATCACGTGGCTCAGGGCGGTGAATTTCAACTGCTGCCCTTCTACCTCTATCGTTATGTTCGGTAATTACATGTTACGAATTTTGTAAGTTGCTCGAAAGAATCCACAGAATAATTCAATAATATTATTTTTTTCAATTACTGGATAATTTGCAGAGTAACAATAGAAGTTAATAACGATTTCCTCTGTCCCTGAGACTGTATCGTTAAAATGGAGCAACTGGAGCAAGATTAAATTATGGTTTAACGCTATGTTGTCAGAAAAGATTTGACGGATAGGACGTCCTCGTAAGCAGTAAGAAATTAAAAACCCATCAGCTTGCAAAGAAATGCGGTTCGAATAATATTTCTGTCTACTTGACACCTGGAGTGGGGGTAGTGCGTTGTTGCCACTTGCTCATGCGGTAGACACATGGGCGTGTGGTGGTCTTTCTTGCATCAGATCACTACAGTAACAAGCAAGAAACAAATCGCAGTAAGGGCACACAACAATTAACGAATCAGAACCGCACTCACTTTGCATAACTCAAGAAGTAATGCCCCCTTCAATTTACAGTTGCTTCGGGCTGTAAGATTTCATTTTTTTCTTAATAAGTATCGGCAACTCTGCAGTGACGACAGCAGAATTTGAAGCTTATTATTGAGTAAAGGAACCGCCTTTCCAAAGTCAGTCACTAGCTGTCAAGTAGACAGAAATATTATACAAACATTATAGGAACATCTGGCATATCATTCAGTAGTTTTCTCGGCGCGCAATTTGATTTCACGATTTGAGTGGAATTATATAGTAATGGAAGTTGGTTTGGACAAATAAACAACATTGATTCAGTTTTCCTAAATTGATTTCATTTGGTACCTCCCTTGATTTTGTGTGGCGTCTTTAGACAAACAAAACCACCTTCATTCGTGCGTGGTGTTTTTATTAATTTGTTTTAAATTGGTTTCCTTTTAAACAAGGAATTATAATCAAAAGAAGTTAATAAATAAATGAAAAGAAGAATGAAAATAAAACGTTAATTAAAACTTTACAATTCATAAATTTAGTGCATTTTATAAAGAACAATTTACATAGTTTGGAGAGCCTCTTACTCAGATCTACAACACTTCTCCAAATTGTCAGGTTAAAGACGGGAAAATTAACGATTAGATATATTGACGAAAATAAAATGGTTTATTATGGAAGGCTCCTTTCAAGCTTATAGATTCCCAAGGCCCCTCTGACTCCCGGTACGCACTCCAATTTTAAAAAAACAACTACATAGAGGCTACGTTTAGTAAAACATTTTCTACAAATATGCTATTGGAGATCTGAGATATATGTATAATAGATACTGAGTAATAGGTACTGCATAAAGATACATATAGAATATCGTAACTGAAACGCAACATAATGCTGGCTTCTCACAAAATTGAAAGATTTCTGGGAATATAATGGACCTAATCTTTGATACACACGCTGTTGTACTCCGAGTACGCAACATGCCTAAACGACTATAACTATAACAAATATAAGAGGAACAAAATTGATTTTTCCATGGTATGTGACAAATAGTGGTTAAAATCGAAAATAACCCAAACTTTCACCAGGTGACTCCTGCAGGATCTAACTAAATTCACTTGGAGGTCTTTTGGAAAACCACGAACCTCAGTCTGAAAAACTATTATTGGTAATAAAGAAAATGTTTTAATGAAATTAATTTGAATTTAGTGTTTATGTTATTAAACTGTGCTCTATTATTCATTTAAATAACTATTAATTTAGGAGTTTGATTTCGTTTTGACGGGTTACCCCTAGTACACTTATAAACTGATGGAATTTCCTAATCAAGAATTGATGTTAAACTTTTCAGAAATGTTTTACTCACAAAAACATTAATTAATAAAACTGCTTATTAAAAATCTAACTTTTCTTTTGGCGAACTGTGAAATCCTGTAACTGTCATTTTCTTCTAAAGAAGCTTTCGCAAAATATTAAATTAACTGAAATGTCTTTCGCGTCATTCTTGGATACCAAATTCTACTCAGCACGACAAATACCTTATATTTCTTATGTAAAATCTTAACTGCTTCGAAAATGTCGTCAAAGAGAGATAATGACAACGATCTCTAATAGGTTTCACAATAATTACATTTTCAAAATTTTTACACTAGATTTAATTGTAAAAGTAAAAATTGAAAAAAAGACTAACAATACCGATTTATCAATGTGATTTTTATGTGACCAAATTTTACGCAAACTACTCTTTTCTTCTAGATATTTGTTTTACTTTGTGCATGGGTTTGGCTGACGCGGGTGATGGAGCATTATCTATTCTATTTATTTATTACATCACTGGCTTCTCTCTTGTGACAGGCTGACCCCTGCATTGGCAGTGTTGGTGCTTCTGCAAACCAGTGTTATAATGAAAATTAACGACGGTCCTTTGTGGCGTATGCAACATGCCCAGCAGTGTCCAGAGACATGGTGGTACATTATGTTGCACATTTGCAACTACTTTCGGCCTGAAACTGTCAGGGTAATATTATAATGTTACACTTCTATTAACCTATATACATTAGTCTTTATAAGAGAAGGAAAAAATTAATTAATGGCAGGTCAAATGAGTAATTTTGGGCCAAATGAAGACTGCGTAATTTGCTAACATTTGTTCAGGCAGTTCAGACAATATTCAAGATGAAATAATTCATTACGGCAGAGAGTTGGGTTTAAAAAAAATAGGTTGATTGTTAGAAAGATTCATTTTATAAGGCAGGAGGTATAACATTGGCCTAATGTCGAAGAAGGAAAACAAATCGAAGTAGTATTTACTTGGCTGTCCGGGTGAGGCCGCGTCCATGGCGACCGAAACGTCGGCACCTTCGCCATGGACGGGGCGTCAGCAGGACAGCCAAGTAAATACTGACTCCGGCCGCGGAAACCTACGCTCTCAAATCAAAGTAGGAGTAAGTTTTGCGGGTTGCCGGCTGCGGAGCGTTTACGCATGCGCGTGTGATCGCATGCGCGTGTCGTGTGCGGCAGTGCCTGGGCCACCTGTGGTACCTGTCGCTGGACTGGCACATGTACATCGTGTCGCCCGTGCTTCTGCTGGCGCTGCGCCGCAGCCCCCGTCGCGCCCTCGTCGCCCTCGGGGCGTTGGTGGCCGGGGGCGTCGTCGCCCGCTTCGCGCAGGCCTACGCCCTCCACCTCCGCCTGCCCTGGACGCCGTAAGTGCTCGCGGCGCTTCTGACTTGGCCGCCGACCCTTTGCCCCCGAAGGGTGTGTGTGACCTTCCGCCCGTGAAAGCGCTCTGCGGTCGGAGGTTTCTGAACACTGCGAGGTCCTACAACTCGTAAAGGGCCGCTCCACACATGCGGCATTCGCGCATCCGAGCACGCTCGCCGAATCCGAAGACGCGTGAGGCTATTCGTCGAGCGCCGAACATCGTAATTCGCCTACCCACCGGGTGTTCGGTTTTTCGGTGGGGGGGGGGGCATCAAACGGAGCGAACATTCGCCGTACTCATCAGTTGTTCGGGATTGTGCGAGCAGTAGCTCGGAGAATGCCGAATGTGTGGAGCCTCCTTAAGGCATGCCTAAGATGACAACGCAAAATGGAGGCACAGTTGGAAGCCAATACTCGGCATTCCCCCGTTCCTACTCATTCTCACGTTAATTGGACAACATTCTATGAAAACAGAATAGCAGCCCGGATCTATTCAACAATGAAAACTTTATTTTACATACCAGGAAAACACGAGGGCATCTGTGACATCCTACGAGTTAATTAGTGATTTTGGTGTGGCATCTGAGTCATACCATACGAGCTGTAGGATATGTCATATTACTTACTGATAAGAGTGAGTAGAAATTATTCTCGTGTATCTCTGACATGTCGTAAGAACTGTAGGACGTGTATTACGCTCGTTGCTTAAGAGTGCAAAGGGTTATAAACTAGTGCTAAAACAGCAACTACTTTCTCGCCTGTATTTTCACACAAAATTACGCGAAAAGTACTCGAATTTTCGAAAAATTGTACATGACATTATTTCTAGATCTATCAGTAAGGGACAGATTTTATTAAGATGAAAATCTGTCCTTTTTAGTTGTAGAAAGCCACACGAAAAATTTTCAACTTTTGCAATTTTCGAAAAATCAGTGTTTTTAACGACCTGCATCATTCTTATTAGCGGACTTTACACTATCCAACAATAAAATTTAATCAAAAACGATGGAGCCATTTTTTTTTAAATTTTGAAAATGTCCCATGGCTTCATTACTTCCAAAATTAGAATATCATGAGGCAGGCGACATTATTCAGATCGATTGGGGAACATCAATTTTGGCCGTCTGAAGTATGTAATTGACTGAACGGTTTAGCTGCTAGTGTTCATAGACGACGGACGGACGGACGGACGGACAGACGTTTTCCTATAATTCGATTTTTCGGCATTTAGGACCCACAAAACATGGTTTATGGCTACACCACGTGTTGGATAATTTTTTTCTAAATTTACCAACTGGATTTATCCACCTTTTCTTTACAAGGGCCCTGTAATAAGAGCGTTTATGACGAAAATTCGCCGTTTTTTCGCGCATCATTACATACATTTTTCTGTACTTTGAACCGAGAAAGTAAAACGATTTTCGCTAATATTATTATAGCCTGCTTGTTTTCCGCTCACCTTGGGCGTGTTATTTGGCATCTGAAAGAAGACAGTAGGCGTAATGTTCGAAAATATCTTCAAATGTAATGTGTATGTGTAACTATCTATTCTTGCAAATATCAAATTAATACAACATCAAAGCATGGAAATACAAAGTTGATAGAAATTTACAAAACGTATTTACGATCTACTAACTTGAGGTCTATTATCGTTAAACGACAACGCAAATCTTGCATTAATAATATTATTTCAACAGTGAATTAGACGTATCAAAATTCCCTTGCCTTCCCATAAACCTCCGAAAGTACGTACTGATGATTCCCTTAACATTTTAACGAGATATTACCCAAAAATAATATGTGTGTTATAGGCACCATTATATTAATTTTATTAACCTTTATAATTATAATTATTATTTTTATTATTATTATCATTATTATCAATATGAATATTCTTATGAAATTCACAAAAGAAAGATCCATGACTTTATTCTATTTCAGTTGTAGTTAGATCCAATATCTTATGTAGAAAGTTTTAACTATTCTAAGGCTCCTTTAGTGTTTGCATTTGCTTTTATTGTTGCAGGAACGGACAGGAAGAGGCGTTGAAGAGACTGTACTTCGCGACCCATTCGCGCTTCGAGCCATATTTAGTGGGAATCGTCTTGGGCTACGCGTTACATCATCTCAAAAGGAGATCTTCGCCTCTTATCCTCTCACAAGTAAGTGACTTCGTATTTACAAATTTTTCAACTCAAGCAAATTTTGTATCCCTTAATTTGTCCTCTTTTCTAAATATTTAGGAACGTGACTTACTTTTTGTTATGAAAAGGATAGAATACGATGCAAAAAATTATGACAATGACGTAGTTTGATCATTGAAAGGTTTCAATAAATAATAATAATTTTAGTATTGAAATATTGATTACTAGAAGGTATTAATAAAACAAATGAAATAATGGCCGTATGAAATCGGGTAGCTAGCTATTTGTTAAAATGAAATGTAAGATTTATGTTCCTAATTAATATTAAAATATTATTAAACCGATAATGCCTACTTAGTACATTTTAACGCCTAAGTACATTTGATTTGTAAAGTCCATGTTCAAAAATTGTATCTAGTTTGTATGAAAATATATTTATAGACATTACCGTATATAATGAGAAAACACTTTCGACCAAACCTCTGTTTTTCGAATGCCTTTGTCATTTATGCACCAATAAATGAAAGCAATAAGAAATATTAGAGTAGGTATATTTTTATTACATGTGATTTTTTAACAAATGATAACCGGTTCATTAAAAAAATCTGACTTTTTGTGCCAGCGTTTCTGTCTTTCCGGACGACACCTATCGTCACGAAGAGATACGTGACAATACGTCATAAGTAACAATGTAAACAAAGAATGGTTTTAAAATCCATTGTTGTAGAATACCATTGTGATATTGGCCTACGTTTTCCGTTTTTAAATTTATTTTATTTAAAATCGCAACAACCCGTTTTTTCAGCTTTTAGGGGATGTCGATTTCGTCTATTCGCACCACATACTCACTATGTCCCTCATGAGTACACATATTAACCTTTTATATTAGACACACTTGCGAGCTCCTCGGTCTGTGATCTTACAGTTCCAACACACATATGATACACACGTTAGTACATGAAAGACAAGGAACAAACATGCCCTCGGCGGCACTCTATTACACGACCCACCAGACCGACGCGTTCTGTCAGCACACCCTCTAGCCCCCTCGGCCATCCACGTCGGCTGATACTGGTCTCTATGAGTCACACATCATTTGAACTGCCTAGAAAGGGGGCATATGTACATATTAAGAAACTGTAAAAACACTTCCACCTTTAACCTTTTGCCTTTATGACGATGCTTGCAGTTTTTGGTTGTCGAAAAGCGAAAGAATAGAGTAAGTGATTTCTACAGGAATTACAATCTCCAAATGAGATGCTTTTAGTATTTGTATTTTGTTTCCTGTAAAATTATAAAAACGAACATACTTCCTTCTAGTCAGCAATTAATGTATGTTATTCTCAAATCAGATGCAGGTTGCAGTGGTATGGGCCGTAGAGATTGTCTCAGTTGTTCTCCTGGCTCGCGAGACGTGGGTGTTTGTGAACCCCGACCAGCCCTACGAGCAACTGCACGAATCCGCTTTTTTGGCCGTGGTACACGTGGGCACAGCCTTCACTACGGCAGTGCTAGTGTTCATGATCATGGCTGGATACGGAGGTATTTACTGTCATACCCTACGGTTCAATTCCAATTATGTCAACTTTCCAGGTTATTTGTACAGATTCACTCTACCAAAATTTGATAAAAGTTATTTACAGGAAAATGTATTTGATTTGATTTATTTAGTCAAAGAACTGTAAAACCTTTATGTGACGAATGGGAGAGAAGTACCATCTGTGAGTTTCAAATGCAAACTTGAAAGATCCAGTTTAAAAATAATACAAAAACAAAACGGTTTGTTCACAAAAATAATATATTTTATAGAACACATCGCTGATTTCTTTGGCAATAATTGTGAATGCTATACAACAAGGTTTATTCAATTTTTAAAGAACACAATAAACAAGAGCATCAGAGACCTACTGTATTACAGATAGGGGCTGAATGTTCCCATTCTGTGAAAATTCGGGGCTTTATAAGAAATCCTTTATTTCTCCTTCTGACCCGTTGATTCTGAAATAAATGAACGGGTTGAATTTGGATGGACTGGAACGTTTAGACACACTAAAGAGATTTTCTCTACATGCAGAACTAGTGGTGCTAAAATAGTTCGTATTTTCTCGCCCGAAATTTTACGAAAAATTATTCAAATTTTGAAGAAATTATACTTGATCCTACTTCAAAATCTATCTTTAAGGAATAGATTTCACTAAATAAAAAATTTGAATTTTTGAAATTTTTGAAAAATCAGAATTTTTAAAGAAAATGATATACACCATTCTATTAAGCGTCTTTCACACTATCTAACATCAAAATTTAATGAAAAGCGATGTAGCAATTTTTGTTTTCAAAATTTTGAAAATGTCCCAGACACTTCATGAAAAGTACTACCCAAAATGAAAATTTCGATTTCAAATTCAACGAGATTCCACATCAGCCCGGAAGGAGGAACGGGGAACGTCAATTTTAGAGAAAATCTGCTGAACAGTTTATCCGCTAGAATAATTAAAGATGTTGTCATTGCCAACAATATTTTTTAATGCAATAGCAGCTTTCGAGGGCCTAGCCATCATCATCAGTTGTCTGATACAAGCAGAAAAAAACAAAAAAACAAAACATTAAAACGTGAATTTACAACAAGATTATGATAAAGGTTACAAATAATTTACAAATTTTTTGGAAAATATATTTGACAACGGGAGAGAGAAAAAGTGGGGGGGGGGGGCATTGCATTAAAAAATATTGTTGGCAATGACAACATCTTTAATTATTTTAAAAATGCCAAAGATATCTTACCACAACACCTTTATCCGCTAGAGTTGTTCACAGACGGACAGACATACGGATGGACAGACGATTTTCCGTCATTCGATTTTTCGGTATCAAGAACCCACAAAACATGGGTTCTGGCTACACCACGTATTAGAGGATATTTTTTCTCTAAATTTAGTAACTGGATTTATCCACTTTTCTGTTACCAAGGTCCTGTAGTAAGAGCTTTTCTGTCAAAAATGCGCCGTTTTTTCGTGCAGCATTACATTTTTTCTCCCTTCTGCGTAAGCGGTAGCGAGAAAGTAAAAAAAAAGCAAAGCGTATTTTCGAAAAGTGCGGTCGCGCGTGCGCAGGGTTCCTCGCCTCCATCTTCTGCCACCGCTGGTGGAGGCCGCTGAGCCGCCTCACCTACTGCATGTACTTGGTGCACTACCCCGTCCTCCAGAGCATCGTCTGGAACACGCGCACGCCGCTTGTGGCGTCCTGCTGGACCGTGGTGAGTTCGTTCGTCCCTCATCGTTGAGAGACCGCTCACTCGCTTAGCGATACCGGGCGCATCAACGGCGAAGGTCGTTTTCCCCGTAAGTGTAGTGCATGTTTTATCTCGGGAAGTAGCGGTAATATTTTCTGGATGGATGGATGGATGGATGGCGAGATCCAGCGCCGACTTACGTTGGCTGGCGGGGTTTTCCCTAACCAGGTATCTCCCACCAGCTGGGCACCGCCCCAGCCCGGACTAGCTCTGCCTGCCCGACTGGTCTCCCGACACATGCACATAATATAGTGCATGTGTAAATAAGGGATTTGACAAGGAAGAGGAAGGAAAGCGCGCGTGGTCCTTGGCCCGTTTCTTAGGGTACAGCTCCGGCATTCGCCTGGGGTAACTGGAGAAACCATGGAAAACTACCGATCAGCACAGCTGGCCACTAGAACTCTCCTCCATCGCATTGAATTGGACCTAACCATGAAGCTAGTGTCGAAAATCTTGCTACCGTTGGGACTCGAACCTAGGACATCTCAGTCAAAGGCACGGCAGTGACGTCAGTTGTCGTCCCGTGTCGCCTTTGTCGGGGGCATTATCTTATTGGTAACATTTCTGTTGTCTCTGTGATGTTGCCTATGGAGAGGTCCTAAGGTTCGAGTCCCGACTCTTCTGTATTTTTAACATTATGTCTTCTTCTTCTTTGGTCCTATCTTCCATATACGGACGTTAGGTGACCCATAACGGGTTTTCTTGGGATAAATTATTCAGGGTGGTTTCCCGTTGTCCTCCCTGATATGATGATGATGATGATAGGGGGTGAAGGGACGAACACAATACAACCATGCCCGAGGCGGGACTCGAACCCACGATCTTTCGGTACGAGATCGCTACGGCACTACTGCCTTAGCCAATCTCGGCCACCGGATCGGCTTAACATTATGTAGCTGAGTCGAATTCAATTATGTTTGAATGGGTGCTGTGATGGCTAATTTTGCGAGGTTTCTCGATTCAAAACCAGGCGAATGCGTAATAAACGCGCCATAGAGCAGGCGAATCCCTCCCTTCATCATCTTTTTCCACGCTTCTCCTCTTACACACGCACTGCACTTCACACATGTCGGGAGCATGGTGCGTGTCATGGCTGGTCCTTTAGCCGCTGTAAGCCGTCTTTTAGTTTCTTGGGCCGTGATATTTAATAGAGTTCCATGTAGATAAATAATTTATACAAATTCAAATAAATCACTGGGGCTTGTCCCTTAACTATGCCATCGCCTGATCTTACGTTAAGAAAATGAAATATGTCAGCAACAACACTACGAAACCCCTTCAGAATGCAGTTCATGGTGTATGGTGACATATTTCATTCCAGTTTGATTCTCCCACAATGAAACAATTAAAAGATAGTAAGATGTAAATATAGGAAATTCAGAATGGATGATTATTTCACAGGCTTCCGTCAAAAGCAATAGCCAGTGACCATCTCTGGACGAAAGAAAAGGGGAGTTCCGTTTTGTAAAAACGACAATGATGTTTAATTTTACTTTTATATATTTATACTTAGGCTTACAATGTTGAAGGCTTCAACTACCCAGCAACGTAATTTACCATTCTTCTTTATTATTTTGAGTTTGAAAAAAGCTTAATTTGATTTTAAAAAATTGATCCAATCTACATGAAAAGATGATGTCCTACAGAAATGATTTCCTGCTTCTTACAGTTTAGTAAATTAAAATAATGTTGATTTGGTCAAATGTGTCTGAAAAACCGTGGTTCTGCAATATATATTATATATATATATATATATATATATATATATATATATATATATATATATATATATTCAATTAATGTCATCTTCCTTTTTGCAGTTTAAAATGACGGTTACGGTCTGGTTCCTGTCGATGCCTTTCGCCTTCATTCTGGCCGTAGTGTTTGAATGTCCAATTGTGCAAATCGCCCGTTTATTGTTTGCCTGGCGTGAGTATTACCATCTATTAACAAGCCACACCAAACGAACTTCCTCGCTAATGAGCAAGTTGTTAATACGATCTTAATAAATAAACCAATTTTAAAAATAGTTACCCACCGCCAATTGAATCGTGAACATCATACTAGTAGTTTGATCTCGATTTTTGTTAGGATAGAAACGTCGTAGATTTTTCAAGATCCATTGTTCGTTCATAAAATCTATATTGAAGCAGTAACTCAAAACAGCACAAAACGTTCCCAAGAACATTGTGTATACTAATTATAGGATGCTACGAAACCTTCTTAGAACTTCCATAAAAATACATACTGAAATCTAAGGTATATCTTAACGTACAAATGTATAATTTAAGAAGAACGAACTTTTGGAAAGAGTCCTGTATTTGTTCGAAACTTGTAGATACTGTACCAAATTCCAATGTTTGTTTGCAGATATGAAACGTGTTGCGCAGGCAAAGGCTGCGAAAATCCAGAAGAATGGAGATTACGCCATCATTCGAAACGACTCGAAGAATGATCACCACTTGAGCCAAGTGAAAATTTTAAAGGAATAAAAGCTTGAAAGGAAAAATAATACTGCTGGAAAAGGCAATTGGAAAAACGTGTAATGGCAAATCCATGTCACTAAACTTTTACATCTGACATTTATTTCGATAATTAATAAATTCTTATATACAATATTTTAAACATATTTTTCTTATGAACAATGTACAAGAAGTATTGAAATATTTTGGTGAAATATACACAGCAGCGAAGAAGATCAATGAAGACTTTAAAATATAACGTACTGATGTTTCTTTACTTTGAATTTCCCTCCTCAGCAAAAACGTTTGAATTCTTGCTTCTGTTATACCGAAGCAATCTTCATCAATATAGTACTGCCAGTAAAATGTACACAAAAGTATATAATTACTCAAAAGAAAAATGTAGAATAAACTCAGGGAAACATGTTGAACATGCACAAAAACTCAATTCAAACCTTACTTAGAAAATAACACATCACATAATTTTGATTTTCAAAATATGTCAATTAATTACAAAACTTGTTGAGTAACGAGTTGTGTTCCTATCATTTCATTGTAAATATATATTGACGTGTAATTATTTCAGGAAATACGAAGGCTAGTGGCCTTTAGCTGCAAAACTCGTTCAACTACAGCTGGTTATTGAGCTTTGTATTGGGTTTTGAAAATTCTATGAAAATAATTGGTTAACATAAATTTATGAAAAAGAATAATTCTTGTGATAAGATAGCTTTTTGAAGATAACATCGTAGAAATCGATTGTGGGCACAATAATTTGCCTTGATGTGTTTAATTTTCAAGTTAAAGCTAGCGTTGAAAGAAAATGCTCGATTATAGACATCTATCAAATGAAAATTGTTGGGTAAATATGAATATGGATATTTGAATTCTGAATTTTAGGATATGAAGTTTGCTTGCCCAGGTTCTTTAAAACATTACCTCTAATATTACTTTTCCAACCTTAAATATCACTTCTCTCGCCTCCGGGAAGGGGGTGAATATCTAATTTCACCCCCTCCCAATGTGCAATTTTGGTATGTTTTCAATTTTACGAAGAAAGGTTCTTTTTTA